CCCTCAAAATAATTGATGAAATAGTTTCGGGACCCATCGACAGTAGAAAAGTTGAAACTTGAGGCGAAAATAATGAAAAAAAACTGCTGTTACGGCCCGACCTGATTTCAGGTCGGTAAAATATGGTAACTCGCATAGGATGGAACTGTAGCTCCCTGGTTTCGCGTTAACACCACGACGAACAAAATAACCGACAGCGAAACCAAGCGCGCTACAGAACTGCAGCTACGCAAAGGGCAACATTTTACGGTTTGTTCTTTCCGGGTTACATCAGGATCTGCAAGGTATCGAGTACGAACGTGGGTTTACGGCTTGTTCGAGCGCCGCACCGACTGCTGTACATAGACAACCAGAATGATCATTCCAATGTCGGGTTACTTTGAAAGACGGAAGTACTGCTTACTGACCACATAAGTGAAAACACGGTATGATAAATAAACCAAACTGGGGTCGGCGACCGGCGACATAATGCATAGTACCAGGGCTACACATCGCCGGGTCAACTGCGGCGTAGACTATCGCACATCATTTGAAAGCACGTTTTAAATCAAACGATAAATGAACAGACTCACCTGGCCGTGCGTTCAACAGAATCAACGTAAACGTTACGAAAACCAGGAAAGACAGCAACACTATTCCATTTCTTCGTAAGGCCATTGAGATAAATGCATTGCGCAGGCGTGAGATCGACCTCATACCCTTTAGGAGGTGTAACCTTCTTAAGATGGCGTGTTTATATTATGATTACGTTGTCGACCAAATTGGACACACGCACAGGAAGGTCGATTGCAGATTTGATGTCTTACTATGAATGATGAATGGGCGTATTACTAAATACACGTGAATAAATATAATGAATGTGTCATGTTCTACAATGGAACTACACCATGGTTCTACAGTGGTCGATTAATATTCGAACACTTGGGGGCGCTATTTGTAGAGTTTTGATGCTCACCACAGATAACGCTTGTTTATAATATCTCCGACAACTTTGGGTTGGTTGTCTGAGTTTATAGGGGATGTAACTGTACCTGTACATGAATGAAATCAAGTTTTCTCTTTTATTTAGCTTCACAATTGACAGTAGCTAATGCTCAGTATTAGTCATCCAATAAAACCGTTTTCGATTTTTCCATTCACTAAATACTTGGTTTTTTTTTCTTCTCGTATGACACTAGAAATATACCGGGAAACGGAGATGGTAACGTCACATTGCACCGCGTCCACTCTTTCTTACATTACGAAATTCAAAAATCAATTATCCGCAAATATCTTTATTGATTTGCTCATTTTTTTAATTTAAAACGTACTTTACTAAAATGTAAAACACGGTTCATTATTCGGAAAACGTGCGTAATGGACACCACTTACGCCGACAACGCACAGTCCGACAAACAAATATGAGCAGCATTTCCAATTTTTACCCATTGTAATCCATTCATACACAGCTTGAAAAAGTAATAATCCCAATCTATATAATTAGGCCCTCCGCATGATCCCTAAAGGTCACACATCTTGGCATGTTATGGGGGTGCTGCTTTTCTATGGGAAAGAAATGTGTTAACCCCATATTGAATTATGCAAAGAATTGTGGGATAGAAAATTGAACTATAGAGGGCGTTGGAAGGGAATCATATCTTTTCCATACAACCCTGTGCTCAGCCTGAGGCTAACATCCATAAACTGTAAACGACTCCTGTTTCCAAGTAACGCATTATTTTCGCCAGACAGATACGTTACAAATCTGTGGCATATGGTGGCCATTCGTACTCACGTAAGTAGCGCATGTTCATTTCAGAAAAGTATAGAAATGTGAAAGCATGTTAACGAAGTGCTCGCGCGTAGACTGGTAGTCTTTTGTTTGTTTATCGGTGTTTTGACAAAAATATGATTACCGCGGAACGTAACATAATAATTCATAATATTTTATATTATTAAAAAACAAACAAGAAACTGTATGCAAGTCTACCGTGGCTCTTGTACGTCTTAGACTGTTGTCTATGAGATTAAACTGTTCCAACTTTTGTTCTTCTGACAATGGCTGTATTTCTCATTTGACGGTGATAATATAGATCGTGCTATTCGATCACACATGATGACAGTAGCCCAGTAGGCACTGAGCGCCTATTAGTTATAATACACGCTCTGATCGTATCAATACGCTGCAACTCAAGTTAACAGCTGACCCACAATGGTGGTATTACAATCGTGACAGTTGTTGGTTTAATGTCAGAAGATCAACCTACTTGTTTATAGCACGAGTTCATACAGGCTGCTATTTTTTCCATTGAAGTGTATGTTACAAAGAAAGGATTAATCCGATATTTCCACAGAAGATGACTGCCTAACAATCATACATGTACACTTGCCATATTTGAATAAATTCGTGTAACCCCGTCAAAAATCATCTGAATTCAGAAACATTGAAATAACACATTATCTTGGGTCATATGTTGTGATTAATAATGGTTCCAGAAAAGGTTCTTGAGGTATGTACTATTTCTCTAGTTGATTACTTGACGCATGGAGCAGGGAACAACCACTGGTGGCGCTGTATACACTCAAAATATGTTTATGCTTGCCAACGCCCACGCCGGCGAACAGTGTAAAAAGCACTTGACACTTGATGAATTTGGTGACCAGTTTACGGTTTAAGTTTATTGCGATAGAAAGCGTGGACCGTCTTAAAAAAAACACAATAGTCAAAGTAGGGTCAAGATCAAGTATTCTAGTACGTGATTCCGGCGTTTCATATTAAATATTTTCTATTAATAATTGCATTTTAAAATAATATTCATGAGATATGCCTACGTCAGTGCGCATGCCTCGGGCCATTTTTTCCGTATTCCACAAGGTAACTTTCAGAAGAGATGCTGAATTGTTCGAGTTACGGCCATCGAGTTACAAAAACATCATCGAGTTACAAAAAATGACCCATATTTCACAAACTACGCCCACCTTTGCAAAACCACTCCCAAATTGTAACTCGATGTTAACAGGATTTCGAGTTACGGGCAACATAAATTGTTGGTTTTGTTGAACGTCCAAATTTAGTAACTTGATTTGTTATTATCAGTTAACCAACTGGAAATATACAACGTCAAACGAAATGAATGTACACACTAGTAAATATGTATATGACTGATTATTCGCGATATCCAAATGCTGCTAATAGCCTCTGTTTCTGTGCGTGAGTGCTCGCGTGTCTTTATCCGTGTTTTTCTGAAGGTAGACAGTTTCTCAAGGAAGGCAATGTGAATGTCGAAACCATGAGTGCAGCTAGGTGAAAGATTAAATTACATGTACAACGAAAATAAATATATAAAACGCGTAAACAACATGTAACAAATACTACCAGTGTCACCCAAGTATTGATTTTCAAACGTCTTGCTAATCATGATTCGTCGTTTGTTGCTGACTAGAAATGGCGGCGTTCTTGAGACGTGAATGGACCCGGGGAATAGAATCAAAGATCAGCCAATATACCCACTTTTATTTATAGTAGCGGATAAATGCATTTTAAATGAAAAAACGCTCGTCAGTAAATCGAACGTGAAGGGCAAGTCCGTATGTAAAAAAATGCCTTAATAAAAACAATAAAAATATATGAATAATAATAAGAAAGAAACATGTTCTGACCAGTTTCCACGAATGAAACTCATTTTATCTGTACACTCATTCCATTTATTTGCAAAACATTCGATAAATACTAACGATAGTAAGTGACGCTATTGAATGTACACTTTGCGTGCTGGACATGTGCCTGTCGTATCGCCGCTCAGGTCAATATAAAACGCCTCGGTGTCGATCTCACCGGTCCGCAGAGCTTCTTTCATAGCGATGTAGTTAAAACACAATGGTATCGGATGTGGTATTTTTAGTATTACCCTCAGCATTCCGCCTGTTTTTATTCCCCGTATACAATATGACATTTTACTGACTAGATATGCTTTCATCCTGGTGAGCTCTTCTGGGTACATCGCCAACTCGTCTCGTTGTCTCATCTGAAAGAGGAACATAAGTTTGTTTTCACTGAGTACATGAAAATATGTTATCACACAGTATTATCAAAGATAGAATATCAGAATTTAAATCTCAGTCAATATAACCGAGTGTCAAAATAGTGAAATTAATCCTTTTACATTTGGATTATGAATAGTGTTCTTCCCACAATGCTGCTAATGTTGGCTCCGGATTCGGATTTAAATTTATTATGGGGTCGGGCTCGAGTCATTGAAAATATTTACCTCAATTTCGGATTTCATAAACAATAAAAATCACGCCTTTGTAGTGTTAACCGTATTGATGCTAAATATCGAGCATGATTTATTGTTTTAGAAACATTATGTTTGTCTCGAAGAAAATTTGCCACAACATTTTATTGATTGTCATTTTTTTTTTACTATTTGACTTACACGTGTCAAATTTCGTTCAGGATAAGTTTAAAAGATCACAAAAATAAAAAAAAAAGCAAAAACATCATATCTGGTAATGTAGTTCCACTGTCATTTACTCGAACCCGAACCTGAAAATTAACCCAAATCTGATTTCGAATCCGACGCCAAATTCAGCATCCGTGATCATCAAGTTTATTTTTACACCGAACAAAACCGCCTTCGTTTGACGAAATAATTAACCACAGAAATACACATGCGCATTGAAATAATAACGCGTACATCTGGTAACGAGTTAATATGAATCCAGTTCAATACTGTGATAACTGACAGAACCGCAACAAATGGATGATTGATACGGGAATATATGATGCGGGCCTTTGCGTGGTGACAATAAATAATATATAATTAGAGGCACTTCTGATTTAATAAACAATATGCTCAAGTGAGGTCAGAGTTCTCGTGATGACAATGATTAGGTAATTCTTGAAAAATGTGTACATAAAATCAGACTTTCCGTATTTTGTATTCACTCTTCGGGTCATCGTGGGCATGCACTTACATTTTTTTGTGCAAAATTCAAAAAAAAAAATCGATTTCAAAAATAAAAAAAATGACCAGAAACCATTTCCGTTGGTCTTGGCCTTACATATAAACACGGATATTCACATTAATATGACAACAAAAATGGTTACCATCATATGGACCGGATAGTGCGTGTCGATGTCACCGGGGATCGGAGGGCACACATGACGCCATTTCATCTCAGGACTGTCGTTTACAGAACATTCCGTGATGACTGTCTGATTTGGGTTATGCGCCCTCATATCTACAAGAACAGGAAGTCACGTATCAAGGTGTATCTTACCAAACGGGGAAGAGGGTGAGGAAAGGAATAGCAAACACACGATGCTGAAGCTGGCCCTGGATTCGGGTTCATAATCTAATTAATTTTTGGTTTGGGTTCGAGTCAGTCTGATTTGACTTATTAGTTCAATGTTTTTTTTCACAAACCTTTCTAAGACAACACAATTCACGCTAATGTAGTACCATCTTTAATTTATTGACTACTAAATACTGCATATTTGCCATTTCAAAGGATACAAAACATATTTGTGTTTCCTAAAACAGTGGCGGCGGCACGGAGGGGGGAGGCGGTCGCCCCCTCAAAATATTTTGGGGGGCGTCGCCCCTCCAAATACAAGCTGAAACCCTTTATGTCAACAAATTTTCCTCTCAAAATGCAGCAAATAGCGTTTCAGAAGGTCTAAATTTGAATTTGTTTAAGGGGACATGCCCCCGGACCCCCCAGTAAGGTCGCCCATGAAAAATTTCGTGCCACCGCCTCTGTAAAACCGATGAATACAGACAGCATAAGCATATAAATATTCAAAATCCCAGAACCCCAAAAGGAACACGAATCTGAATCCGCGACCAACTGTACCAGTAGTCTGCCCTGCACATATACACCAGAATAATAATATCCACAGAATTTTGAGAAATATTACAATGGTCCAGATTGACAACTATCTTTCTCAATACTACATTAGCGACGTTTTGACAGCCATACAAGTTTAAGATCAAATTCACCCTAAATAGTACTCTGGTGTCACAAACCTCAAACAACTAATACATGTATTATAGGTGTCTGAGCACAAACGTGTGAATCATAGCGAATTAGCCGTTCCAGTACTACCCGACAGTACTCTTAGAACTTGTATTATTCATACACAGCAATGCGAGGAATCAACTTTTGGTAAAAATCGCGGTCTAGGAAAACTTCTTCAAACCATTTCAAACAATTATTCAACTTGAAAAAAGCACCCCTTGAAAGAACAAATCCACGAAAAAGGTCGGCCCCTTATTACATACACTGGTTCGAAATATGGTCCTATCAGTGTCATATGTCACATATTATATCAATACAGCAAAAATAAAACCGTTTGATTCCTTAAAATGGGACCCCTTGCCCCGTTGAAATACCCGTTTAGATATTATATCTGTACTTACCGCCCGGGTCTCCCATGATGTAGCCATCAACTGCCGCACCAATCACCAACAGCGTCACCAGTGTTGAAAACAAATTTCCAACAACACACAGACATGTATTCGACATGAATGACGTCATATTCACCATTTTGAACTAAATACACAAACACGAGTCAAAAGCACAATGGTAATTTTTATTTGTTGAGTAAATTTGTTGCGATATCACTGAAGCCCGTGTGAAATGCAAATTAATATACGTACAAAAACTCATCACGTGTAGTACATTATTTTAACTAATTATATCAAATATGATAAATTGTCTTTAAATGAAAAAACTATATACTACGTGCTGGTGTATTTAATACTGGCGACACCTCACCGCCGAATTGGGGAGGAAGAGGGGTGTCACCCATATGTTTAAAAAAGTTCTTTGTTATAAAAATAATCTCACATCAAATTCATGATTTTATATTGCAATGAGAACCAAAAAACTTACTAATAATGTAAATAGCAAAAATGGCGTATTGCAGGATTGTATGATGATGCAATGCCGGGATTAACAGTTTGTCTTTGAATATTTTATAACATATGTTAATATCACACACAATTCTTAATTATGAATGTTGCCGGGGTTAGATTCCATGGAAATTCATTTTAAATAATGTGTACATTAACACAGATTTCTCGATAATTTACGATAAGAACCTGCAATGAATACACATCGTGACGTCACAGACAATCGTGTTTCGAAAAGAGAAGTCATTTTTGTAATATCTAAATATAAAAGCGCCACAGTCGCAACACCGCGTATTGTTCATGGGTCCCATGCGACCTATGCAACGCGTAGAAAATACACAATTGTTTGTTTAGAAGAAATCCGAATAAACGCTGTATGACGAGTGTAGGTATACGTATCGATGATAGAGGTAAAATGACCTCCATGCATTGAACACGCGTTTCCGTGGAAAAAAAAACATATATAGATAGAAATGATTGTTTGTATAAATACAAGCAAAAAAAGATTGTAATACGAACGGATTAAATAAGGTATTGGAGTCACATTACCTTGATACACCCAAGCATGCACGTTAACTCTTGAAATTGACAACGCCACATTTTATTCCATTTTATACCAGTACAAAATACACTACGTATGCATTGCCTATTGGCTATTCGATTTTCATTTAATCTACAACACGAAGCTTGCGAAAACGCATTTGTAACCAGCTTTGCGTGACTTGGTGTTCTTTTATGGCCAATCAATTTACGGTAAAATTGTCATGGGGTGCGCGTGAAAACAAGTGTGTATGTTTGATTAATGCAGCGTAAAGAACATATGCACGCGACTAAGCTGTAGCGAGGTTTAATAGAAATTTCCCACTCATTTAATCACTGCTTTACACTTGATCATGTCTGCAAACATGGTTTTTGTAAAATTAGTTTTAGTATTTGTCTTTAAACCGGAGGAGTCGCTGCCTGCGCACGCGCAGAAATTCAGTCCCAAGCGACGATAACAACGCACGCTAAAAACGCAAAGGCTCATGGGTAGACGATTGTTTGTAAACAACGACACGCTATGGCAGTCTACCGCATGCACAGGCGACAACTCCTCGCTTTAAAAAAACGGGCCTATCATTTGTGATTCGCAAGAAAGTAAACATGATAAGATTTTAACCGTTGGAAAAACAGTTTTTGCAAACTATGAAGAATTTAGAAAAGCTGGGCCTATCACACAATAAAAACAGCGTATTGCGTGCGACAAGACATGTTTTAAAGTTTGACTGGGCTTTTCCCGCCCGGTTTCTCTAATAATTTTATTACAACTCTCGATAATGAACCATTTACTGACTGTCACATCTTACAGACATTTAACATTGCTAACAATCGATTGACAATTTTTCCATTAAGCCCACTTCACAATCATTTAGCTACAGCGGAACAGCATCTCGACTATTGACTATTGAATTTTAGTTTTAGTATTGCCATGAATGAAGAAGGTAATCAGCAGCTGGTTGAATGCACTCACCGGTATACTTGGTACGACACTTGTTCTTAGCAAGCAATTACATATTGTCCGTGGACGAGGATGAATTTTCAAGGTGTACCAATAATTTGATTCACTTGAATCTAGGGTCCAGCCGAATAAGTGATATTAATACTGATTCCGTGGGTAAATTGGTTAAAACTTGAGAAGTTAGAGTTAAAGAAAACCCTAATACAATTACTAGTATACTGAGATCATATATTTTCAAGGGATGTCAATCTTTACTTAATCTGAATCTCAATAATCACACCACACCACACCATCATACCAATAATGACAGTGTTTTGTTGTATTAGACAGTGGCGGCGGCACGGAGGAGGGCAGTCGAAAAATGTTGGGGGCATCATAGTGCTGTGAATAACAATTTTATATGTGTTGTTCACATTACTCTCTATATTGATAATATAACACGTATAATAGTAGGAAACATGTTTTCAGTAATTCAAAAACAATACTGTTATTTTGCTTCTGTATTTATTCGTTTGTTGAGGATTTCATGTAATGCTCATTTAATCAATTTTATATGTTCACCCATAATGGTTTTTCTCTGTTTTCTTTTAATCGTTGAAATATATTCTCCATTATTAGGGGATATCGATGTACGGGGGTAAGATGCATCTGACCGGAAACTAATCGATAACAATACACATTAAAAGTCTTAGTACACTAAACTTTTTATTTGTTTTTATAGTGTATAATGGTATATAAGATACATTATAAATTTGTGATCAATGAGTTCAGGTTAAAGTCGATAAGCAAAAGATGAATAAACGTGTAATCGATATTATGTTGTTGTAGAATAGGGGAACATATAGGCATGCATAAATGTGTATGCTCAGTCGCTGTTTCACTTTTAGTTCAACAGACACGTGACGAAAATGGCTGCCGAGATCTCGCCGGGAGCCACGAGACTTGTTTTGTTGTTTACACAAGTCCCATGGCTCGTATAAGGTCTAAACAATAACACACGTTTATATACTCTTCCGATATTTGACATATTCGGGATACGTATTTATTCGATACAATAACAATCTCCATATTTAACACAACGTGTATGGCCTAGGCTATTTTCATTTTCAGTGTATGATCAATATACGTGTCACAATCATGATAATCTCTATATTTAACACAACGTGTATGGCCTAGGCTATTTTCATTTTCAGTGTATGATCAATATACGTGTCACAATCATGATAAGCTAAACCACCTGCCTGTCAACAGTGTCACATACAGCGGCTAATATAACACGTTTAATTGCATTCAATATCTTTCACAATACCCAGTCTAGTGTGTATCCATCGTTATACAAAATTAAACAATTATTTTAGTTATTATAATCATAGTGTCAATAAACAAGCTGGCAATAAACGTTGTACATCTAAGTTTGCGATGTTTTCCTACCACACGTTCATAGCGAAGTCTCCCTAGCACATGTCTCTCTGGTACATGTCGTCCTAGCATACGTCTTGGACACATGTGCGATTACGCACGTCACGTGCACGTGGTAGAGCAACATACAATGTCGGTACCTTTATAATACTATATATATCCATTATAATTACATGGGTTAGTAACATATAGTTCAGACACATTTCTATCATAAATGATTTGTATTAGTATTACTTCGTTGTATATCATCATCTTAAACGTTCGCCTGGTGGTCATATAATGTTTGATAAATCGCTTCCTCGTCTTTAACCAGTGCGGTATAGCGCCGCTCGCGTTCTGGGACCTCATAGGCGTAATCATAACCGGGATTGCACGTGCCAGCCGGAGCAGAGTTCCGGGTGGTTGGTGGGATAGTTGGGTTATCATCCGGTATTATTTCAAAATATTCAGGGATAACTTTTATTGCGGGGTTATCGGTGTTGTTTTGGCGGATGTTTTCTGTTTTTTCTGTCTGTAATGGGAATGTGACGAGCTGGTTAGCATGTGCAGTGCTCGCCGGTGACACGTCGCGCTGCGACTCTGGGTTACCTTGCCTGTTTGCTATTGGTGAAGTCGATGGCGAAGACCTCACTGTGCTCGGCACGCCAAGGTTATTAAACACTTCACAGTTGAAGTTTTGTTTCTTTTTATTCTGTCGGGAAAACCAAACGTAAAACAGTAAAGCACACAGTAGAAGCGTACCGAAAAAGGTACCGAAGAATGTTCCCAAGATTTGTCCCGTTGCATCGCACTGGCTCACTGGGGCAATTGGACTTCCTTCCGGCGTTGTCTCGGGTGTGCTTGAAATTCGTCCAATGACTGTGAGGGCGATGGCGACGCTAGTATCGCCCTCTATGTTCGCCGCTCTGCAAGTATATTTCCCATCATCGGTGTAATCAACATCGCTTATCACTAGAATTCCATTCTCGTACGTTGTGAATTTTTCACCCTTGTCGTGGTTGGGTGGTATGTACCGCCCTCGTGGCGTGGACCACGTGATAATAGGTTCTGGCTGACCAGAAGCGTTGCAAAATAATTCCACCATCGTACCCGCCATGGCGATGACGTCATCGCTGTAGTAGTCTATTCTCGGACTTATGCAAATAAGATCATCTTCGCTCAGCTGGGTGAGCTTTCGACCACTTAAACTGGGCGGAGAGTAACATATCGCCCCAGACAGAAAATTACCAGGACGACCACTCCAAGCAAGTAAATCTATCAATCTGCAGTCGCATTGTAGCGGATTGTCGTCAAGATACAGTTGCGACAGCCGTGGCAGAGAATCGAGAACACTTCCACTGAACGTCTCTACCTGGTTTGTTTCCAGCTTCACGACCATAAGCTCCGATAGATCATCCAAATACAGACGTTCCAGACCCGCTAAATGATTGTTGGACAACGACAATGTTTGTAGTCCCGATAGTCCAGCCAACGACGTATTAGCCAGTGAGCTAAGTTTGTTACTTGACAAGTCGAGATAGAAAAGTTGGGACAAACACGAGAACACGTCCCCGGGTAACATTTCTATTTCGTTCATTTGTAAATATAGCATTCTTAATAGTTCAACTCCGTTAAATGCCTGGAGTTGTATTTCTGAAATAAAATTATCGCTCGCATCTAAGGTATTCAGTAAAGGAAAATGTGAGAGTTCGTTCGCGTGAAGCGTGGAGATGAGATTACCAGCCACGTTGACATCGACGACGTCCGTATGTATAGGTATTCTGGTGAAGCCACTGTATCCACAGTTTTCGTGCGTGCCTTGGGGAATGGTTGTCGTGCAGTTGTAGAGGCATGCTGTAACCGCAGTCTGTAATGTAAGCGACGCATATACATGTATGAAGAAAATACCACGTAATGACGTCATTATGTTTAATGCAATCTGTAGAGAAAAAAAATAATACAATTTAAACTTGTTGATTGAGTTAAAGTTTGTCAAATCGTTTAAAGTGTTTCTGGCCTGGAGAACGCTATTTGCCACCCCCCCCCCCAAATTATTGCCAAAGATAATGCATAAAACGTCTGCACTATGCAATAACACATGATACATGGACACGCGATGTGAAGCGACCATCGGAATTTAAGCATATAAGTAATCAGTGCTGCAGAGGGGGCTCGCCCCTCGAAAATCGAGCTGAAACCTTTTGTGTCAGCAAAATATGCCCCTCAAAATGCAGGAGATAGCATTTCAGATGGACTAGATTTCAACATTTTTAACGGGGAGCATGCCCTAGTAAGGTCGCGTCTTTGTCGCGGGGTTGGTGAGCAGTTCTCTCCCCTCCATATACAATTTCGTGTAGTCGCCTCTGCAGTGGAATAAATAGATTATTCATTTACCAAAGTTCCAGTTTTCGTACATACCGACATACGTATAGTTATTATATTATAGTGATTGAACCCAGTTCAGGAGAATGAATAAGATAAACAAGTAACTTAATGGGAAGTGGTCGTCGCGCAGCGCGTGTTCGAATTCCTTGTAAACAAACAGTATACAATGTATTTTACACGCGTTGTATACGTCGCCATGAGTCCCATATCGAACAGGACGCGGCGCGACGACCACCGCCCTTAAAGTTGCCCAGTCATCGAGTTCTTACATATTTATTGATCAGCTGATCGGGTTAGGGCAGAAAAAGAAATGAAACACGTTCTCGCAAATAAGCAGTAACTGCAAAATAGATAAATAAAAAAAATGAAAAAAAGGTGACTGTTGCGCGTTTGAATTTCGGGTAAACAAACAACGTTTTTCGCACGCGTTGTTTACGTGGCTTGGGATCGAACACGACACGTCACCAAGACCAGATTCTAGAGCAGTTCTTCTAGATCTACACTGGGTCAGAAAACTACTTACTGAATAACACGCGCATGCTATGTGTTGAACTAGTTTGGCAATTACATTTCACACTTCGCAGTGGATGGTTTTATTATTACTGTTATTAGCCTGACTTACCTGAGATTTTAGAAACACGCTTTACGTTGATATTCGTTCATAGATGTACATGATTTCAGCTGTATTCCTTTATTGACGTCCCAGATACAGTGTCAATAGAGATCATCTGCGCAGTTATGCTGTTTTTTAAACAATGAAACACACGTTGCAATGTGACGATCCTCAAGTTATCATGTATAAGTCAACCGTCAACTTACGTCATTCATACTTCGGCGTCGCCAATATCTTGCGTATTCAGATGAGTGGCTTCAAATTTACGACGGATATGTGCGTCGGGATTCAAGCTGTCATGTGATATTATGGCCATGGCAACAAGTCATGCCATCCGCTTTAGGTTGATTTTACGTTAAAAAATAACCGTATATTGATATAGGTCCAATAAAAACGAACACACGGCCTATTTGTCAGCTGTCTAATGCAGACCGATTTAAACCGTTCATCGAATTTACAACTCCAATGACGTAATCATCTGAGGGGATACCTTAAAAGTTTGCAACGAGTAACCAGAAATTATGGCAACATAAACTACCTGTATATCGAGGTTTCTGTTGTGTGGGGGACTGAGTACATTGATATCAGTAAAACGATCAAGGTCATAGTTCAAATACGATAAGAGATATGCTGTGTGTATTTGGACCTCGCCCGTATAAATTCGAAAAACGTACGTCACACTGTATAAGGAGGTAGTAACGAAGATTGATAACGTTTATAAGTGAACTTATGTATGACTCATTGTGGCGCTATGTTATGTCCCTGCGTTCACTGACAACGACTTCAGTGTATGATTTATAGCGCACAAGATTCGTATGAACATACATACAATTTATCCATTGAAAATGTGCATAATTTTATTTTATTTCTGTAATTATAAGAATATTATTATTATACACATCAATGCATTAAATTCTCGGCTAAGTACTTGTGTTATTAAAACACCCTCTACCGGTAATTGTTCGCCAGTCAGATACGTTTGAACTAACACAGTCACTGATTACATGTATACTATCCACCAACAGGTTATAGTCTCTAGAAATATTTACCGGGTTATTTATAAGATAAGGTAACTATCTGATAAACGTGACTGCCCGTCACTTACAGTATGTTATATAGTTCTATTATTGAACAAGGTGATAAAATGTCTGATCGTGTGATTCGTTATACTAGTATGTCTGAAAAAAAAATAGTATAAAACAACCTTTGATCTGGTATAAGTTGAAATATTCAGTCTAATTGTGTTTGTGTATAGGCTTTCTTGGTTAATAGTTCAGTAGCCTCATTGCTCGAGCTCTCTGCGTTAGACGAATATACTCCTTTTGATGACCATCGACGCACCAATGTCTTACCTATGAGTCGTCATAAACTACGGTTAAATTGTTTGTACGGTACATACTCTGTATTTGCCGATTCCCTGTATTCTCGGGGGCGGACATCCGGGCATTTTCTACCGCCTTGCAACCCTCGCGGTGAAAACAAAGACCAAAAACTCGCAGAAAACGGTACTTTGCGATGGTTGTTGAGAGTCCCCTGAACAGTGTAACAAGATTAGCCCTACGTGTGCAACATATATGAATTTGGTTGTTTCAGGATTACTTCAAAGTTGAGTTTGTGTTGATTTCTCGAGTTTTCACCGGCTCCACCGCCATTCCACAGCAGCGCGCACAAAGCCCATAGAAATACGTGGTACAGTGGTGCGCGTCTTAGCAACGTAGAACGTCCGTGACGTAGCTCCGACCCCGAGGATATTCTATTGTTATTATAACCTTGTGGTTTGGTCTTTGTACACACCGTGACCGCTGTACCCACATGTACACACGCCTACGTCATGATACCGCCACGTTCTGTCTAATTGCGTTCCGTCTAATTATACTATATAAAAATAACATGTTGTTCTTTATTTTCAGGAATAATAACTATTAGTATTATCACCAGTAGTAATGACACTGTGTATAGCATAATTTCAATTTTCTAAACTGGATTGCTGTTGCTAAATACGACGAATATGCCGATATTTCCCAGAAGAAGTAGCCATCTTGAAATTCCTTTAAGGCCATAATAGAATACATGCTCTGAAACGCAAAATTAAGATTCCCGCAATACAATAACAAAAATCAGTGAGGTAACTTTAGTCCATCTAACAGGATAACGAAATCACGATTCAAATATACTCCATCTATTCCGGCATGTCATACACTTCATCGTCTGTAACGCCCAGGACCATGTATTGTTCATCGCTTACAGCGCCCATGTATTGGGAGTCTCTTTCTCCGGACTCCATTTCTGTATATTCCTCCTCATCCTGACCTAGGTCCATCCCCGTGTACTCAGTGTCGGTACTGACTGGCACTTCATACACCTCGTCTTGTGTTGTCCCTACTGCAGTCGATATTATCGGTGCGTCGTGGTTGAATGACTTCGTCGTGCCTGCTTTATCTTTCTCAGACTGTTGAACATCTAGGTTGTCCTGACCTAGAGATTGTCTCCATTCTTCCAGCGATGATGTTGGTTCGTTTGGTTCCACGTACACTTCGTCATCTGTGGCACCCTCAACCGCGTCTTCTTTGCAATTCGTCGATGGATGTGTTTTTTGTTGAAATTCAACGTTTTCGTAGGCTTCACTGGGTCCGTTTGACTCATTAAATCCGCTACTGGGAATCCTTTCCTTTTTCGTATTTCCATCGGCCACATCCACTTTAGATTTTTCTTTCTCAACCTTTCTCTTTGACTTTGGTTTAAACAACTTTGGTCCACGTTTATTCCAACCTCCTCCGGACTTGTCGTTTGTGTTCTTATTATTGTTTTGTCCGACACCTACAACCACATCGTCTTGGGTTTGCGACTTTCTCCAGTCTTCAACTGACAACTCAGATTCATTCGGGTTAACGTACTCGAGTTCTTGTTCTGTGGTGACTTGACCATGATCGCGATCAGGTTTGCGATTTGGCTGTTCAACTTGAAATTCCACGTTCTCATAGGCCCCATTGTCATCAGCAACGGTCACCGTACTCCCTGTCTGCGGTTTCATGACAGGCTCATCTGTATACTGGTTTTTGTTTGCAGGACGGATCCACTTCCACCAAGAATTACCGTGCCTTCGCTGCACTGTTGGAGACTCGACATCGTCGCTCGGTCGCATTTTCTCACGCAAGTAAAAGTAATACAACAAGAAGAAAAACAGACAGGTCAACAACAGCGTCACAAAAAAGGTAACTGCGATGGCTGGACCAAAGTTGCAATTGCTGCTACAGTCACATAGATCGTCTTCAGACCAATCATAAGTAGTTACCTCCATTACCATTTGCGTGTGAGGTGTTCTTCGGTGTCATCCGCTCACCGTGAGATGGAGTGGTGGAACTGAAATGATAAACGATGTCATAATGAATCACATATATATATATATATATATATATATATATTTATATACATACGTGGACAGAGAAATTAAGACACGACTACATGA